TTGGGTCTGGCTTGGGAACACCTATGTATTTTTGCAACGAGAACTAATGCATCTTTCTTGTGGAAAACAGTATTTCTTAACAGGACACAGGGAAGCACCTCTGGTGCCCTGCGATTCCTAATTCACAGGCCAGTCAGCAATTCTGTATTCACCTTTTCCTATGGCTCCTGCCTCTGTTTCAAAAACGAGGCTTCCAGTAGTTGCGCTTGCGCCAGGTTTGGGGGACACGTGCTCAATCTCACTCAAGTAAGTACATCTGTTCATCAACTGGCCAGCTCATTGAGCGGTGACAAACATGTCTCGTGCTTGAAGAGACATCTATAATAAACATGGTTCTCTACACGTCTCTTCCATCTCCTTTTTTTCTCTTTGAACTAGCAGTATTTTCCTTTGCTCCATAAGTTTTGTTTGGCTTTTATTACACGTTTTTACAATTCATTCTTAAGTCAGTTTTGCTTTATGTATTTCATACTAGTCTAAAAACAGTAGCTCAAATGAACCCCCAAAGCAGTTTGTCGTTGATTTCAATGAGGCAGGATTCCAAGCAGTGTCATTTTGTACCTTGCATGGAAGTAGTTCAAGAGAAGAGCTCCTGGAGCAAGAAACTGCTCCACTTGAGCAAGGGTGGCAGAACGTGGTGCTTTATGTAGCTAGCTGTTCAGGTGCTATAAAAACAGAGTTGCTTTTAAGACAGGTTCAGCACTGCTCTTTGCAGTTTCTGTCACCTGCTTCTATCCAAAAACCACGTGTTTAGATTTGAAGAGCTTTCTTTGTATTGTTTTTATTTTTGACATGGATACAATACAATGGACACATTCTGCTGTACAAACACACTTACGTGTGGGCTTACTTCAACAAAACACGTAACATAATGAGGATTGTAAGGGAAATGTACATACAAACATTTTGCTTTGATTAGTGGCATTGTATTATTTTCCAGAGAAGACACACATTAATGGAAAGCTATTGAAAAATAAAAACTGTGAAACACAGTATGTTTGTAATTGTTATCTGTTAACCCCGAGATCTGATCTCATAAAGTTCACATTACAAGCAGTAATTGAGGCAACATGGTTTGGAATAACATTTCATGCATATCCTGAAATATGTCTTTTAATATATACTTTTCTGGTAATTTCCAAATTAAAGGAGAAACATTTTATCAATATAAAAGACTAGTGGAGAAGTGAAATTAATAACAAAGTTTTGGAATATTAAACCTCTAAGCCAAAATTTTTTTTTTCCTGGAAAATGCAGAGTGAGGTAGTTAACTTTATACATAGACACTGACATATTTGCACACACGCACACATTCTAGTGACGTTAGCTGCATAAACAGGTTAGAGCATTCCAGTCTGTTTCCAATACCTGCTTCTTGCATTACTCCCTCTCTCGCTATGTGTTGATATGCAAAATGCTGTGTTTGTAGAACCATGGAGTACATAAATACTTGAAGCATCTTTGGAGTTTGCTGAATAAGTTTCTCCCTGCTTGCTACTACTTTGTTATTAATAGCTTTCCACATATGTTGGTTTTTGTTAGGTGGTAATCCTATCATAGCTTGGTTTTGACTTCAACTTCTGTTAGGAGGAACACAATTCCAGGTGCCTCCACCAGCATTTTGAAATATAAAGCCTGAAGTTGAGACCTCATATTAAAAAATGTCGTAGAGATTGTTCAGTTTGTCTGCTGTGTATTAAATAGGGGTGTGTGGGGGGGTGGCTTTAAACTGGAAGATGGCAGGTTTAGATTAAACATTAGGAAGAAATTTTTCACTTTGAGGGTGGTAAGGCACTGGAACAGGTTGCCCAGAGAGGCTGTGGAGGCCCCATCCCTGGAGGTGCTCAAGGCCAGGTTGGACGTGGCCTTGGGCAACCTGGTCTAGTGGGAGGTGTCCCTGCCTGTAGCAGGGGGGTTGGAACTCGATGATCTTCAAGGTCCCTTCCAACCTAAACCATTCTATGGTTCTAAATCAAGTTTGTGTACCACAACAATACAAAACAACTTAATGTGTAACAGTATTAACCACAGTACACATGGGTCATTAGGCCTATTTGTATCAAATAAGGATTTTGCCATTCTGTTTCAGAGACAGCAGGCATTTGGCCATGCTGTAGTAGTCTGGGCACTGTACGTAGAATCTAGTTCATCTGCAAATATGCATGTCTTATAAAGTTATAGGCAATTTTAGTATAAAGCAAGTGTTCACAGGATGGGTTTCATTACATCAGCTTTGGCTTTCCTAGGTTTCAAAGTGGTAAGAGGTGAAGGTCTTTCAAAAACCCCTTCTGTTCTGTATGGAATACAGTGAGATCTATTTTAGAAATAATTTTGATGAAGTTGTCCCTTCAGGGTCCAGAACATGCTCAGCAAGTCACCGTGTGAGCACATGGGTGCCCTGTACTTTCCCTTGCAGGGCCATTGAGAACACAGATTGAAGTGAGTGGGCAAGACAGAGGAGGTCAATGTATTTGTCTGAAAGTACTGTAGAAAGTTATCTTATTTGCTACATCATTTTGAATTCTTTAGTTAATGTTCGGGCTTTCTGTATAGTCATAAAAGCTCTTTTGTTGGCTATAAATACGATGATGCTTAGCATTTATATGATGCTCTTCATATTCAAAGCACTTTCCACATAAAATCCCTTTGCTGAGTTTGTCCTTCCTAGATGGATGTTTATAACTCCTGTTCTGCTCAGGGAATTGTTTGACTGCATCTGAGAGCAGAATTTAACTCAACTAATTCTCATGTTACCTTTATAAAAGGAAGGACTAGTCCTGTTTTACAGCTAAAAGAAAAGGGCAGCATAGTAGGAAGAGTTGTCCATTTTCACAGAGGGAACTAAAGGGAATCAGGAACACAGCACTTGACAAAACGTTTATGCTTAGTCCTGTGAACAAACCACAGATCTACTCTCTCTCATGTGCTTAAAATAAATAGTTGTCAAAATAAGCAGCGTATTTTATAATACGACTGTCCTGGTCTTTTCCTGGCTGCAACTCTGCATCCATTAGTGTTAAAGATGAAGAAAAAAAAAAAAAAAGGAAATTAGGAAATTTAAGAATTTCAGTGTTTTAAGAATAATGAAAGCATAATGTCACTAAATTTTATCATTTTTTATCTCAAGACAAGAAATAAAGATAGGATCTGCCTTCTGTAGGTATTATTGTTGCTGGTAAAATTACTGATTTAACATTGATTTCTTTCACTGAACACTAACAATGAAAGCTAACTACTGGAGAACAGGATTTAACTTTGAACCAGAAGTGGGATTTCTAGAATGTGAAAATCTTCATCACACAGCTTCAGTGGTGCACTACGAGTTACAGGCGTTCTCTGCAGGACAGCGTCCTTTTTGTTCACCTGGAGGACTTCGTTCAGAATCCTTTTAGGTTGCTACCTGGTAAACAGGGCACCAGCTCCTGCCTCATCTGTGTATCCAGATCCGGAGCAAACCCAACTGCTCAGACTGTAGGTGAATTCATTGTGCAATATCGTCATCCAATAACGGAGACATTGCAGTGCAGTTGAAGGCATTAGTTCCCATTTTTTGCACAAGGCAAAAGATGAAAGAAATACTCGCTGTTTTCCAGAGGCTTCTGATTTCCCTACTCAACAAACATGCTTTAGTTCTATAAAGTATAGCCCAAAACGAGGGGATTAGGTGAAGAATGGTGCTCACCCTTGTGACTGGCTACAAACTTGACATACTGTCTGATATTTGCTGTGCTGCATTCCCAATGTGGTTGTAGCTCCCTGTTCTCTTGTCAGGCTGTGTGTTTTCAGAGACTGCATGCTATCTGTAAAAGGAGCTGCAATTTGCTATGTATTTGTAAAACACCCCGCATAACTGGGCCTAGTTTGGCTACTATTTAAGGCCCTAATCTTTAAATGTTAAATAAGAGTATTAAATCCTTCTGCTCACTGGAAGCTCTTTTTCTTCTCCATGCTGTATTATACAAGATCTAGACAAAGATCTCTCTTCTCAGTGCAGCTGAATAGTATAAAAGTTGCTTACATATTAAAGCTAAAATAAACAAAAGAAAAAGAATTAGGTTACAAATTAAGAAACTATAATGTTTAACAAAGAAGGTGATGGCTGTAAGTGGCACCATTAACACATATCTCATATTATGGCATTACACAGACTTAAATCTGAGAGTATCAAGTGAAAGATAAGAGCTGGGGTAGTAGGCCCTTTCTCACCTAGTGTTTGTCTCCCGAAGCTTGTGTGTATGACAGGGGAAGGAAGGAGAGAATGGTTTGTGGCGCTACAATTGTACTCAGTAACGTGATCCAGACGGACGATTTTGGAAGACAGGTGGTAATATATACAGTGGTACATATATAAAGCAGTATAGCTGTCTATACAGTAGTTCTTCCTGCTGCCTCCCTCCCTCCCCCCCCCCCAGCATCAGGTACTCGCGAGGAGTGACTGAGAGACATAAATATTGCAGTAATGCACACTGTACAGGTTTACTTTCAGCAGAAAGGTTTGATTTTTGTCACACAGCTACATCTTGGCACGGCCGCAGGTCGAGCTCCTCTCTTCCATGCTTGACAGATACCTTCTCTTCTTGGATGTCTCTGTGATGCTTCTGTGTTACGCTGTGGTCGGTAGTGTTTCATGCATTTGCGGATGCCGCTGGATTTTTTCCAAAAACTCATGTTCTAACAGGTCAGGAAAACAAGCAGCTCTGTATACGACAGGTTGTTTTCTGTGCACCGTACCTCGGTCCGCCCTCCTTAACTCCTGGGCCAACTGACAAGTGTAACCCATATGAAGCATAACTGATGTGATATTTTCAGATGGTCCAGAAGCTGGAGTGATAATGCTTATACCAAAAGTAGTACATGGCGAACATCAGTTGGACAGTACAGTAGGAAGGAATGTTATCCTATAGCTACCATTTTGTTTCGTCTCTGCCAAGAGCTTCTTAAAATGACAGGTGTCACTCTCATCCATTTGGCTTTTGTCCAGTACGCCACAGCCTTCTGCTTCAGCTTGCTTTTGGTTTTATCACCCATTCTGCCTGAGGATTTGCACGGTAAACATCTAACATGTATGCATCCGGATCCAAACAGTGCTGACCTGAAACAGAAATCGACAGTCATGAATCATAGGATGTTTTGGGCACATTAGTAAATGGGACAGAGCTATGCTAAAATGTCCTTGGATGTGTCGCTGACTCGCACATAGCGAGCCTAGTGTGGTGTGTCTGGCTCTGACATCTGGCCTGGATACAGATGGGGGCTTTGGTAAATTTGCCTGTGATTTTACTCAGTGAGAGTCATGAATTCGCTTTCACTTCCAGGCAGGATGCCCTGTATTCCACCGAGTTATGGATAAGGCATTTAGTCAAATGGTGAACAAATATGGTTTCTTTAGAAGCATTAACAACACTGTTACTGTAAGGGCCACAGTATGGTGGGGTTTTTTATTTCTTTGGGTTTACTGGACTGGAATTACAAATCTGACTTCATTTCTACACTATTTTTAAATGCTGAAAAAGGAGCTCTGTAAACCATGAGTTTCCATCCAGTTAGGATCTTGCAAAGAAATATAGGGACTATATCAAGGGTTTTGGCAGTTGCTGTTTTGCTGGTTAAAAAAAAAAAATAAAAGTCCTCTGAAGTCTGGCAGTTTGCAAGTTTCATTAGGGGTTGAGTGGGAATAGGAGTTGGTTGGGGAGTCCCTTCTGCTTTTGCCACAGAAAGCAGCGTTTGGTGCCTCTTGATTGAGTAATATTGCAATAAGTTCTTGAGTTAAGTTGATTTGTTGGACTATATTGCATTTACACTGAGTGATGAAGCCATTTAACTGGTGAGGTTACATTGCCGTGACACAAAGGATTAAGGTAAAATTTTTGTACAGTTCCTTACAAGGTCACTGGGCTCCTAATGATTGTATTAAAGTGAGAGCCATATAAATGAATTAATGCATAATCAATGGAATAAGGTACCCTGGAAGATCTAGGACTATAAAAATAATTTTAAATTAA